GACAGAGGAGCCTGGTGGGCTACAGTCCATGGGGCTGCAAAGAGTCGGACACAACGGAATGACTGAGCACATGCCCACCTGGCCTATCTTTTCACACCTTCGTGCCTCAAATATTTCTACTACAAAGTCTAACCTTGCAAATGCTTAACTCAGCTTCACCACCTCTGAAGTGTTTTGCAGGACTCTCAGTGAGACTTTGTCACTTTCTTCTTTGCTGGGTTCTTATTGCTCTTTGTTTATAACTCCGTTATAGCATAATGCCTGAAAGAAAAAAAAAACACATACAGGTTCCTTCTATCTGAAAGTAAGAGCATTCCTATGAAATCTTTCATAAGCTGAAATGGTGTAAAGTGAAGAAGCAATTACCTTTCTTCATAAAAATGAAAATCTTTTTTTGGATTTCTTCTAGTTAGCAAAAACAGGTACTAATATAGGCTTTTCCTAAAAGCAAAGTTGTTGTTTAGTTGCTCTTTGCGACCCTATGGACTGTAGCCCACCATGTTCCTCTGTCCATGGGATTTCCCAAGAAAACTGGAGTGAGTTGCCATTTCCTCCTTCAGGGGATCTTCCCAACCCAGGGATCGAACCTGCGTCTCCATGTCCCCTGCCTTGCAGGTGGACTCTTTACCTCTGAGCCACTGGGGAAGCCAAAAGCAAAGTGGCAGAAAGCAAATTTACAAAAAGTGGGGGATACCTGAATCTGCCTCTTTCCTATGTTTGACTATAAACTCTTGGAGGCAGGGCCTCTGACTTATTTATCTTTGTACTAACTCTGTCCTTTTTCTGAGGCAGGAAGGACTGGTGCATCCACTTCCCCTCTGCCACTCCTGTAGTAACTGGCTCATGATAGAATCTAAGTAGCCTTTTTGCCAAGTAGGATTGATTCTGAACTAATCAGATGAGCACATTATATAGTAGACTGACCTGGCTCTTCTTCCCCTCCCCATTCTGGGCAGTGACCCGCTTGTGGCTGGTACACCTTGCTCCTGGCTCAAGTGTACTATAGCAGGGGGCACTGCTGTTTGCTTTTCTTAGTCCTGACTCCAGCTTCTCTCTTTGATCTCTGCTGCTTGCCCCAGCTCACCCCTACCATTGTCCTGCCCAGGGAAATAATGTTTCTCCTTCCCAGGCTCAGGCCTCACCGCCTCTTCCCTCTCATATTCTGAGAATGATACCCAAGGAATCTGTGATGATGGGGAACAGATAGAACAGGATTATGGGCATGACCCTTCAGCCTTCTGAGGGTTCCAGGTAGGGCCAGTTGCCTCCTTGTTATCTGCTCCCTTTTTTTTTTTCCCTTGTCCCCCAAGGGATCTTATTTCTGAGCTGGAAGGGAGTATATACAGATGATCTGTGATGCCAGGAATTAAGGGCCTGTAATCCTAGGGAAGGTTGTAGTGTCCTTTAGATTAAAACTCTATGCTTCAGAGAAGTCCCTAGGGTAGTTGTTATATGTGAGGGCCCTGAAGACTCATGGTCTGGATTCTAATCCTGTCCCACCAGTTACTAGCTGTGACTGCTCTGCAGGGTAGGGTCATCCTCATGCCCACCATGTCCATTCATTCACACATAGTTACTGAGCCGCTCCTATGAGCCAGATTGTTCTAGGTGCCAGGGAGATAGCAGTGAATAAGACAAAATGGGTTGAACATTTAAATCCTTAGAACAGTGTCTGTGCTGTGCTTAGTCGCTCAGTCGTGTCCAGCTCTTTGTGACACCATGGACTGTAACCTGCCAGGCTCCTCTGTCTGTAGGGATTCTCCAGGCAAGAATACTGGAGTGGGTTGCCATTTCCTTCTCCAGGGGATCTTCCCAACCCAGGGATCAAACCAGGGTCTCCCGCATTACAGACAGATTCTTTACCAGCTGAGCCACCAGGGAAGGCCTAGAACAGTGTCTAGCATATAGTAAATATGTGTTCTCTTCCTAGTGCTTTTCTAAGAAGGGTTACTCAGATGGGATGACCTTTGGCAGCAGCTGCAGGATCAGATCTCTCTGAGAAGGGGAAGGATGGAGGAAGGGCTAAGATACAGGTTCTGGATTTGGACTTAGTTCCAGGACAGCAATAGCTTGAACGGCCTTTTATTTCTGGCACTTTATTTTGAGACTAAATACATGCACTGGTTAAAGGTCACTCTGGAAATTGTATGAGTCTGTTTAGTTCTGTAGAAAGGGCAGGAAGATATGCCCCCGTGGACTGCCTAGATTCCGGCTGGCTTTTTTGTACAGACAGCACAGTGCCCACCCAGCCATGTGTGGGTGACTCTAAGAGAGGCCACACTTCCTGAGCAGCATGAAGGGACATCCCAGAGATATGAGATGTGAGGACAGAGAACAGCTGTTTCTCTCTTTGCTGTCAAAGCTCTCTGGCCATGAGATAGAGGACTTTCTGCTGGAGGAGATGGCTTGGGGTTGGAGAGCTGAACTTAGGAAGGAGAATGAGGTGAGGCAGAGGTCCATGACCTGTTTCAGTTCATTCCTTAGGGAATACTGCTGAAGAGGACGTTGCACTCTGAATGTGATTGCTGCTGGAAGCAAAGTCTTCATTCAGGGCTCCTGATTCACTGTCTGTGGTTTCCAGTGAAAGTTCAAGACTGATATAGTTTTTTTGCAAGTTGGGTTGGAATAGAAATCTATGGAGTGGAAATCTTTCCTGGAATCAACCAGTTTTTCAGCTACCACCATGCTTGGGGGAAAGAGCTGTGTAATCTTGACCATGGTTCAGCAACTACTTCGCTGCTTCTCCCACTTTCTCTCTGCCATCCTTCTCCCACCGTGGGTTTGCAAAAATGCATGCTTTCATAGCACAACAGAAGTGCCCTCGATGTGCGATGTGGGCAGTCCAGGATTCTTGGGTTCATTCCCATGTGAGCTGCTGGCATGGCTTTCCTTCAAGACCTGCTAACCTGGCTGAGAACCATGACAATCGGCATGCACAAGGACAGATGAAGTGGCTCTGGGCCCTTTCCAAGATTCTAAAGTACAGTCAGGTTTAGGTCCACTGGACACCATACTCTTTCATCTCATTTTGATTGCACTTTCTTCATTTTTCAGCCATTACTTAAACTCAGTTCAGCCAAGTGTATGAAACTTGAACTAGGCAAAACATTTTGCTGTGAATATAAACTCACAGCTCCTTCCATAATGAAGGAAACAGATAAAATGGTGTGATTATGGCAGAGTTTCTCAACTTTTTTTCATTATCAACTTCCAGAGGAACCTTTTAAGACATTTTCCCCTAATTATCCCCTCTAGGGAAATTTTAATACCACGGGTATACCAAAACTCTGTTTATGTATATTTGTGTATCTGTGCCATATACATTAAAAGAGTAAGATTTTTTTACCCCTCCCACCAAGAGCAAATTTTCTCCTCCCTGGAAGGGGGGGTGGGGGCACGGAATATCACCCCTATTGTGAGTTCATGGATTATAGTAAAGCACAATGGGATTGCATAAGTAATGTAAAATGGCAAGCAAGCCTCCAAACTTTGTAAACTTTGTTTCTCCTATCTCCTTTGACTGAACATCATAGCTGCATAATTTATTCTTGTCTTTCAGTCTGTCATTTCCATTTTGCTCTCTTTCTTCTTTCCTTGATTTCATTCTTTTTCTCTCTCCTGTGTAGAAGTTATGGAGTAAATTTGATTAAAATAGTAGTCTGGGAACTTCCCTGGTGGTCCAGTGATTAACAATCTTCCTTGCAATGCAGAGTATGGGGGTTCCATCCCTGGTCAGGGAACTAAGATCCTACATGGCATGCAGCAATTAAGCCTGTGCACTGCAACTGCTGAGCTGGTGTGCATCACAGCTAGAGAGTCCATGCACTACGATGGGAGATCCCACATGACAACTAAGACCAGATGCAGCTAGATAAATAAATAAATAAAATAGTAATTTACAACTCAGGGATAATTTAAAGAATGTGATTTTCTAAGAAAGTTCTCTAAAAGGTTGGTTATCCTTTTGGAGGAAAGAGCCTACATACCTAAGAGGTATTCATGGGGAAGCATAATAGATGTAAGTATTGAGAGAAAAAAAGTATTCATTTGGAGTTGCCTTTCAGAAGAGATGACCTCCCAAGAGGTCTTTATATCAGTTGAAATGGGTTTGGCTATGATGTCTATATTGGACCTGGTGTGTTAGATGCTCAGTCATTTCCGACTCTTTGCGACCCCGTGGATTATAGCCCGCCAAGCTCCTCTGTCCGTGGAATTCTCCAGGCAAGAATAAAAGAGTGAGTAACCATTCCCTTCTCTAGGGGATCTTCTTGACCCAGGGATCGAATTCTGGTCTCCTGTATTGAAGGGGGATTCTTTACCATCTGAACCATAGCTTTACCATCTGAGCTATGACCAACCTATATAGCGTATTAAAAAGCAGAGACATTGCTTTGCTGACAAAAGTCCGTCTAGTCAAAGCTATGGTTTTTCCAGTAGTCATGTGTGGATTGAGAGTTGGACTATAAAGAAAGCTGAGCACTGAAGAATTGATGCTTTTGAACTGTGGTGTTGGAGAAGACTCTTGAGAGCCCCTTGGACTGCAAGGGAATCAAACCAGTCAATCCCAAAGGAAATCAGTCCTGAATGTTCATTGGAAGGACTGATGCTGATGCTGAAACTCCAATACTTTGGCTATCTGATTCAAAGAATTTACTTATTAGCAAAGACCCTGATGCTGGGAAAGATTGAAGGCAGAAGGAGAACGGGACGACAGAGGATGAGATGGTTGGATGGCATTACCAATTTGATGGACATGAGTTTGAGCAAGCTCTGGGAGTTGGTGATGGACAAGGAAGCCTGGCATGCTGAAGGCCCCAGGGTCACAAAGAGTCAGACAGGACTGAGTGACTGAACTGAACTGAGCCACTAGGGAAGCCCCATATTGTATCTAACTTCTGTATATTAACTCTTTTGGGGTTGATGCCAGTTCTACCAGTGGGATATCGAGGTTTTCTCTAGCAATCCATGTAACCCATGATAAAATCTCCTCTCCCCTGTAGAAACTACCAGAGGCATGCAGTGTTGGTGATGGAAGACCCTTCGTCACAAATCTGCAGAGTATGTATATGGCAGTCACCAGACAAGCGATCCAAGTGGGACAGAAGCATCATGACGCTGGTAGGTAGCTCCAGAGGTGTTGGTCTCCCTGGGGTTAGAGTTAGGGTCTAGGTTTGTGCTATCCATTATGGTAGCTCTAGGCAATAGTAACCATTTAAATGTAAATAAATAAAAATTAAATAAAATGAAAAGCTCATCTCATTTGTACATTTCAGGTGCTCAGTAGCCACATGTGGCCAGTGGCTACCAGGTTGGACAGCACAGATCACAAGTATTCATTCTATCACTATAGAAAGTTTTATTAGGACTGGTCTACATGCTTAGGAGAATTTTGTTGTTGTTCAGTCACCAAGTCGTGTCCAACTCTTCACGTGCAACCTCATGGACTGCAGCACACCAGGCTTCCCTGTCCCTCACCATCTCCTGGAGTTTGCCCAAGTTCATCCCCATTGCATCAGTGATGCCACTCAATGGAGAATCAGAGAACCAGGAAAAAAAGTTAATCCCCCTACCTGAGATGTGGCAGGCAATATGCAGAACAGTTAGCTGTTTTGAGTCACAGAAACTCTTGTCCTACGTGGTTACAATTGGCCTGGAGGATCTTCACAGTAGAAACAGCTTTCCAAAAGTTAATTGGAAGTTAATTTGTGTCTGTTTACATTCTAGTACCAAGGCTTGGATAGAGGGGCCTGGGATGCTACAGTCCACGGGGTTGCAAAGAGTCAGACATGACTTAGTGACTAAACAACCACAACAACCAAGGCCAGGCCTTTATCAGAATGCTTGGTAAATGCTAATGCTTTCCTGGTAAGAAGGCATTTATCACTATCTTCCTTTGATCTTTCTGGTTTCAGGAGATCCCCAGACCTCAAGCAGTGCTTTCTCATGGGGAGCTGATAACCAACTTTTGAACCAGCTAGAAGAGCCAGTCTCTTCAACACCATCCCTCCCAGGACCTGAGACAGAGCCCACAGTAAGTCATGAGCAGCTTCCTAGATAGCATTTCAGGAGTTGAGAGTGTCTGGGGAATTTCCTGGTGGGCCAGTGGCTAAGTCTTCTCGCTCCCACTGCAGGGGGCCCAGGTTAGATCCCTGATCAGAGAATCAGAGAACTAGATCCTACATGCTGCAGCTAAGAGTTTGCATGCTGCAACTGAAGACCCCACTTGCTGTAACTGAAAGATTCCATAGGCTGCAGCTAAAGATCCTATGTGCCGCAATGAAGACTAAAGATCCTGTGTGCCACAACTGAGACCTTGCACAGCCAGATAAACGAATAAATATTTAAAAAGAAAAAAAGAGTTGGGAGAATCTGCAACTATAGCTCCCAAGCTGGTGGTCCCTGCACTTGTCACCTAGTTGACCCTGCCTTAACCCAACATGGGGCAATATTTGTGACCTGGCGTCCAAATTGTGGATTGTGGATTTCTGGATGGAGAGTCATGGTCTTTTCCATCTTCCCTTGCTGTTGTCTCTCTGCAGTTCTTCTGAATGATGGACCTTGGCTCCCTTTCAGCCTTATTGCACTTCCAGGGATGGTCTATGAAGTTGTTCCCTAGGGGAAGAGGGATGTGGCGTGCCTCTCCTGCATAGACTCTTCCTTCAGATTCACAGCCTGACATGGACCTCAAAACCCCTGCGTCAGTCACCCTTCTTAGCCAGAGCCATGGGAGCACGGAAATTCTTTTCCTAACTTAAGTGCAACTGTCCAAAACCTCTATTAACTTGGATTCCTTTTTTTCTAGGTTTCTTCAGGCCCTATGCAGAGACCTCAGTTGTTGAAAGTCAAGAGGAAGAAGCTAAGGGGGCTTTTCAGTTAACTTGTCACCATCTCAACTGCTGAGGATGGACTCGGAGAGTAGTTTCCTAGTGTCACCTTGGAAGGAGCTCCCATGGCAGCAACATTGCTGACACAGAGTTAGACAGTCAGAGACTCCACCGTAAGGGCCAGATAACTGAAGCTTATGTTGACAGGCATGGCTCCTGTTAACAAGGGAATCCTGGCTCCAATCCATTGGGCACTGGCCTTCCTTGTCCGAGTGGAAGACAGTTTCTGGGAATCCCACACCCTCCTTTTCTTTTAGTGAAGGTTCTCTAGACTCAGGATCTACCATGAACTTTAGGTATATGGGGCAGGTCAGCAAAAAGGCACAATATACTAAGGGGAGTCTTGCCTGTCTTTCTGAAGAGTCCTTAGCTACTCCCAGATGATCCTCAGAGACACTCTCCTCTCTAGCACAGAATAAAAAGTGCTCACACTCCTGCTTTTGAGATTGCTTATCTGTGGAACTTATAACCAACCGATTACTGGATCCCAACCCACTGATGTCTCTGGCTGAAGTCTAGGCCCTATTCCAGTCCTTCAGGATTCTTCTTATGCTTCTCTTCTGTGGCTTGTGGTAAGCCTCCATTGGGGAGCATTGATCTTGAAACCTCTCTCCATAGTCTTGTGCCCTATGGCTTCTGTGCTTCTTGGTCCAGCTTGATACGGGGTGTTTTTATCTGTTTCTGAGGCATAGACAACAGGTTAAACCACAACATGGGATTGAAATGACAAAGAACCATGAGCCCTAGGGCCAAGTTAGTTTCCTGGAGTGGGAGGAAAAAGAATTTTGCTGTCCCATCCTTCACTTCAGATAACAGAGTAAACAGAAGAACTAGAAAAGATAGGATGACTGGGAATAGGAAATGGCCACAGTTCTCTGGGACCAATAGAATTGACGTATAGAATGAATAGTGCTTAGCAGGAAAAGATATAAAGCCTGTATGAGATAGACTTTCTCAGTTAGAAGGTCAACTTTTTGGACAAATCTAGCAAAATTTGCAACTTCCCTGGTGGTTCAGTGGTTAGGACTAGGTGCTTGCACTGCCACGACCCCGGGTTCAATCCCTGGTCAAGGAACTAAGATTCCACAAGCTGCATGGCTCAGCCAAAAAAAAAACAACAAAAAAAAGAATTTAACAGACCAACAATCGTAAAGCTCCTTGGCCTTCTCTGCTAGGTTTTCCTCTATAGGTAAGACCATCTGAATCTTTACCTTGGAGAGACAGGAAGGAGAGTAGAACTCAGATGTTCACTGGGAGCTATTAGGTAGAGGAGGGGGTTGGGGCAGAACCCACAGAGGCCTTTTCTTTTTTTATTTACTTATGATGGTCAAAGGCCTCCTCAGTCACATATCTTCTCTTGGCACTGAGAGAGAAACACATAGGACTGGTGTTTCTGTCCGCATGTCAAGTCTTGGGAGAAAGAGGACCATCCAAGTAAAAATAAAATAATGATGATTATAACAACAACAATAAACAGTTACCATTGATTAAGCAGTTAATGTATACCAGCTACTCTACTAAGTGGCAATGGTGGTTTAGTCAATAAGTATGTATGACTCTTGTGACTGCATAGACTATGGCCTGCCAGGCTCCTCTGTCCATAATTTCCCAGGCAAGAATACTGGAGTGGGTTGCTATTTCCTTCTCCAGGGGATCTTCCCAACCCAGGGATCCAACCTGCATCTCTTTTTTCTACTGCACTGGCAGGTCGGTCCTCTTCCATTGGTGCCACCTGGGAAACCTGCTTATCAGAGGTCACACGGCTAATAAGTAGCAGCCAGAATTTGAACCCAGACTGCTGAGTTCTGAACTGCATTATTATATACCCCACTGAAAACATTTTCCAGGAAGGATGTAAAGTCCTTTTCTGTCTTCAGCTGTGACCATTCTTTTCCCGTTCTTTCTACTCCCAGTTAGCTCTTCAGGGCTTTCCCAATGGCTCGGTGGTAAAGAATCTGCCTGCAAGGCGGAAGACACAGGTTCGATTCCTTGGTTGGGAGGATCCCTTGGAGTAGGAAATGGCAACCCACCCCAGTATTCTTGCCTGAGGGAAAAAAAAAAGCCCATGGACAGCAGACCGGCAGGCCACAGTCCATGGGGTTGCCAAGAGTTGGACCTGATTAAGTGACTGAGCATATTAGCTCTTCAAGGGAGGAGCCTTGGCAGACTCCAGGACTTACCCCAGGCCTTTACCTGCTCACAGAGTCTGAGAGCTCCACCATGGCTCATTCCCAGTTGCTGCTGATAAGTTTCTTTACCTCCAGGCCAGTGCCCCCATCTCTGCCCTGGTGGTGACTGTCATTGAAGTACATAGGGAACTATGTAAAAACCATCTATCAGATGACTCACTTTGTTGTTTAGCTTCTCTTGGCGTAGTATAGATAGACAGATTTCAAGGTATGAGACCACATGGAAAATGGAGAGACTTCCCCAGCAAATTGGAAGAAAATAAGGGTTCTTCACTCTAGGTAGGTAATCCCTCTGCCCTAAAAGCACAGTCTCAAGAGAAGGCATTTTTTAATCAGAGCGGGGATCAGCGGCTTGTAAATCCCCTAAAATTATAAATAAAATCCTAAGAGCATATTTTTTTTCATGTTCTCAAAAGAATGTGTAACTTTTTAAAAAGGTTAAATGAGAATATGCCTAATGACTTCCCTGCCCACCACCCCTTATATCCCCAAAGCTTGCTGACCCCATCGGACTATTGCCCAAACGCACATCCTTAGAGAAACATCGCTCCCTGTGGCTCTGCTTCAGGCATTCTTGCCCTGAAGCCCTTGCCCCCCAAAGCAAGGGGTGGTGTTTGAAAATCATTCATCCCAGGGCAACTCCAGGGAAACCCCTGCCTTGACAAATTGGCCTAGCCAGGCTGTATTCCAGCCCTGCCCCCTGGCTTGGGCCCCTCCCTGAGGCCCCCAGCCTGGCCCAACCCCCACTCCGCATGCACATAAAAGGGTCGAATTCTCGTGGCTGCTCCATAAATTTTATTCCGTAAATATTAGTTTTCCCTGTGTTTAATAAAGCAGTGGCCCACCTCCCCGCCTACCCGCCCGCTCCCCGGGGCCGGGGCTGGGGCCAGGGCTGGCTGGTGGGAGAAGGGACTCTTTCAATTGCTTTGGAGTATTTTTAGAAAAAAAAATAATATAAGGTGGTTTACAGCAGCAAGCCAGCAAACCAGGAGCAGGACTAGGGACCTCGAGGAAGTTCCTGCAGGAACTTGACCTAAAAAGTAGAGAAATAGCGCCACCTAGGCTGCAAGGCCTTCTTGGCCTTGCTGGTGGTTCACCCCTCCCCCACAGTCAGCCCAGACAGACCAGCTCTTTGCTGGGAGACAGATCTTCATCCAGAGCACTGCAGCTGGGCAGCACCTCCTGTCCTCCAGCTTCACTGAGAGCTTCCCCAGCAGCCCCCCAAAGGCAGAGCCCGAGCCAGAGCCTGGAGAACCCCACGAGGGTCATCCTCTGTTCTGACACCGTTCAACCAACCTGCAGATCAAAGAGGGTCTCCAATGGGTAGTAAAGTTATGGAAAAGGGACGAAGGAGCTTCTAGTCTCTGCCCACTGAATCCTGGAGCCCCTAGGGTGTAAGGTGGCAGAGAGTGAGATCTGAACTCCTGTACTCTGGACTGGAAAGAATCTGTTCCTCTTGGACTGTATCCTTCCACGGGTCTGATGCGGTTCACCTTCAGGGAGCACTTGCGGAAGAAAGAGGTGCTCAAGTCTCCTGAACATTCAGCACAATACTTTTTAAATTTTGTCCTGTGGTCCATTTGAACTCCCTTTTCTTGCCTTCCTTGTTCACATAAACCTCTTTACCTCCTCCTCCCAGGTCGACTGGGAGATAAGCAGGAGCCCGGGTGTCATTCTCTACAGAGATGGTGGGAATGGCAATGGGAAAGGCTGTGCCACCTGGATTTGGTCTCATTCGTGACAGTATTCTTGCCTGGAGAATCCCATGGACAGAGGACCCTGGCGGGCTACATACAGTCCATGGGGTCACAATGAGTTGGATTCGACTGAGTGACTAACACCTGACGTTGTCATCGGGGGCATTTCCTTCTTTCCAATTATTCTGTCCTTCATTTCCTCCTATTTACAAAGCTAAGGGGATTTGCTCCACAGAGTATTGGGGAAACCTAAAATCCTCTTAATTAACCTTCCTCGTGACGTGGTAAGCTCATTTTATCTGTTCTTCCCACCTCCTCACTGTGCTATGAACGTAATCAGCATTTATATACACATTTCCTGTGGGCTTTTTGTTTCCATCCTTACATTGGGTTATACTCAAGAGTATAACTTTGAGAACAGGGTCAGTGTTCAATGCTAACTCAAAAAATAGCACTGTGCTGGTATTATACTACTAAAGGGTGCCACTTTATGTTAACTGGGCTTTCATACAATCATGATATGCTTTTCTGAGCTCTACCCAGAGGTATTTTTCTGTCTTTTAATTTTTCTGAAGAAGAAACAGTTCAAAAGGAGCAAGTGACTTTCTACAAGGAAGCCACCAAACTCAGAGCTCAAGACCTTTGGTTCCTAGTCCCTGTTACCAACATGAGTAAATGTATGGACTCGCAGAATTGTAGTGGATTCTGCTAGGCACTTAGATACAGAGAAATTCCAGATTAAGGGAGCCCATGTTGTGTAGGGAGGGTTTTCCCCAGCTGCCGTGCCCTCCTACGAGTTGCCACAGGGTATTCTTGTTGAGGGCTTCTTAATGCTTTAACTTTCTTCCAGGTTCTCTTGGACAGAGCTTCAGAAGATCCCACCCTGAGAGGAAACATTCAGAGAGAGGGGGGTGTGTGTGAAGGAGCTTGTCTGTGATGGGGAGGTACCCTAGGGAATCCATCTCTACCTGAGGATCTAGAAGCCCACCTATCCTCTGTCTCCCAGCCCAGACCCATCAAGGAGTACTGTCTCCTGAGACTTGGCTTATGGTGGCCTCAATGCTTTCCCTCAATTCTGGGGTCTCCTTTCTACCCTGGCTAGTGGGAAGCCATGAGGTAGCACTGAAACATTCTAGAAAAGGCTCAGTCTCTTCTCAGTGGAATCCTACCTGCTCTCAGTTTCTCTGTCCTGGAATCCAGCTGATTTTGTGGGCTTTCTACACTTCTGGACCCTCTGAGTGAGCGCTAGCCTCTCAGCACCTAACTCTCATGGGTTCCTGAGAATCTGGGCCAGCCTAGGGGAACCCGGAAGAAGCACTGGAAGAACTCCAGGGTGTGGGGAGCGCACAGCCATTGACTCACCTGGGAATACCGTGCCAGTTACTTGTCTTGCTGGGCCGAGGGCCAGGATTTAGAGGAGTATGCAGTGCCACACTCTTCCTCCCTACCCTCACTTTGGGGCCAGAACTGGGGAGTAAGGTTTGGGGGGCTGCTGGGAGTCCCTTCTGAAACCTGGGTGTTGTATTTACTTTTTCATATTGGCAGCTGGAAGGGGAAG